TCTCACCTTGTGACTGACAATAAAATATGTAACTTTATGAACTCTAATGAACTTATAATGATGCTCCTACTCTTTGAAGGTGAACCGATGGTACCACACCATCTCTCAGTCGGACAGTCTGATCAGTTTGATCAAAATCCTCCAGTTTTAAATCCTCACTGCTCAGATGAATCCTCCTCAAAGATACTTCCACCTCTTCCTCACATCTTGTTCTTTGGGAAACCTTCAAAATGAAAACAGGAGATTTGTGTCTACACAAAAACATTGTACAAAGGAGGTCAATCTTATTTTCTAACTACTTCCTATATTCTCCCTATTTTAATTTTTTTATTTTTTAGAACTTAAACTCCAATTTTGATGCATATCTCTTGATAATGAACCAAAGTTACTGAAATAGTGAGTATGCTTGTTAAAAAAAATATTCCTGTCATCAGATCTCAGTCAGCTTCATTGCAGCTGAACACTGTGTTACACTGAACATCACATCAGCTGGTGGACATAAATACAGTACAGTAATATTATATTCACAAAATACTAACAACAATATGTTCATCTTATTTGTGAAAAGTTATTCCCCGAGACCTGACGTCAACAGTCCGTCGATTAGAACAGAAAAAAGCTGCAAAGTGCTGAGACATCTTCTGCTCTTCTGTTTTAACCAAATAAGAAGGACGACCGCTCCAAGATGGCTGCCGAAAATCCTGCGCCGCAGCAGCCAATGAGGGATCTAGTGATTATATATCTATGGATCTGCCGGTCAATTAGGAAATGGACTGAACTTCATAAAGCACCGTTCTACAAAGTGTTTTAAATTGATCCCTGACATTCACACACTAATATATTTGGAAAACAAACAGGCACAAAAGACATTTGTAACTTTTAACATGATTATTAAAAATGTTTACTCCTTAAATATTTAGGTTCTCCTTTTGGTCTGGTGGGCCTGCGACCTCTGGCAGTGGCTGATGTGACCCCAAAATGGCTTGTTCAGCAGCCTTCACCGAGGTGTGTGATCTGAAATGCACCAACAATCTC